AAAAAAAAAAAAAAAAAAAAAAAAAAAAAAAAAAAAAAAAAAAAAAAAAAAAAAAAAAAAAAAAAAAAAAGATGCTTGAGTTTAAACCTGAGTTTCTTGGATTAATGTTTAGCCTCTTCAGCAATACAATTGTCATGAAACACAGGTATTAATAAGTTATGATGGCTCCTGTTAAGACAGAAAAAGGTGAACCTAGTGTATTAGACCTTGGAATTATAGGGAAAAGAATGCTCTAGGAGATAGGAAGAAGAGTGACAGAAGTCAGGGGACGAAGTCAGCTTGTCAATATCCAAATGGGCATGTGTGTGTTGGGTTGAAGGTGGGAATATGTGGAGAGATGCATTTAAACATTGAGATGAGTTAAAGATAACTGAATACCTGGCGCAAGTGTGTGTGTATGGCATACTTCTGTAACAGTGTTACAGAGTTGCAGGCTACTAGGAAACTTCAGCTTTTTGCCATGTCTAACACATGGCAAGCAATATGCAGAGGTGCCATTGGAAGACAGGTAAATGATCTGGTTCTCTAGGATTTAAAACATGAAATGGATACAAGAGTTTGTGTTTACTTCTAGAAAACAGGCACAAAAGAAAGGCAGAATACTGGTATCTGACAAAGAAGATACAAAATACATTGACTTTAAGACTGGAAGCAAATAGAACTAGGGATTCCAGAGGGAGGCACCAGCACAACCACCTTAAGAAAAGTCAAAAAGTCACAACTCGGTGTTCATTAACAAGGAGTAATTCATTGGAAGTGAACCGCAAGAGTTTAGGGGACACTGGGTGAATTTAAGGTTGTCATCTTTTGTTATCAGACACATGTTTGCAGAGGTTTAATTTTTTCATACACTCATATATCTTTTTGAGGTGAAATAGGGAATGAGTGGAAATCTAAAATTCTAAGTATTTTATCCTTAATAGTGACTATAATGGTCTTAACATTCCACTTAGCTTGACTAAACTGCAGACAGGTTTTCTCCTGACTATCGATTCCGGACTTCCCTTTTCTTATTTACTTTAGAAAAGTTGGAATTACAAATTCTTTCTCTACCCTTTTAAGATGTAAATATTCTCCCAGCCTCTTGCAGGTGTGACAATCAGTCATGTCTTTCTCAAGGACCTAGGAGCCATCCTCTGAAATAGAATCACCAATAAAAATAGTGCTCTCATATCCTAGTTTTTGCAGCAGCATAGGAGCCTAATTGGGATAAGTGCCAATTAGCAAATACAGGTGACCTAAACACATCGGCCAACTCTACCCTAAAGTCCTCCAGTGCTTTTCCAATTGTTTACCTCAGTGCTTACAAACTGCCACCTTTTGTTTCAGTAGTCATGTTTAATCTCACTCCCACATTCCAGTAGACTTTTAAAAAGTCTTCCTTGCTTGTTTAACGCCATCCAGTGCAGCTTTTCTTTGAAAGTGAGCACCATTTATCTAAAAGACTATTTAGTAATTAAATCAGGCTAATTTATATTTTGCTAAGTCATTTTCTTGTGATCAAAGAGAGTGAAGTCTACCAAAAGTGATTGGATTGTTTATAGAGAAAATATTTTTAAACTTTTTGCACATACAACTGTAATATGAATAAATATGTAACCCACTATGAGTGTGATTGGGACTTTAAGATGCCAGACTAAGTAAATAAGGTTAGTTTCTCCTCCACTGACTAGCCTAAAAAATACAAAATAATCAGGTTTCAACCTCTGACAATGAAGAGAACTAAAGAGAGCTGAGGTAGGCAAAATTTTCATAATGAAAATTTTGGGTCACAGACCCCAGTGACCCCAAGGACCTTACTCTTGTATGATTTCTTCCTCTGTGAATATGTAGTGTTATGTAGCAAAAGAGATTTTGCAGATATGATTGTGGTTACTAATCAGTTGACGTTGAGTTAATTAAAAAGGAGATAACTTTGGTTGGCCTAATCTGAGCTCATGAACTCTTTAAAGGAAGTTTTCTCTGGCTGATGACAGAAAGAGAAATCAGAATGGAAGCACAATGTTTTTGGCCAGCTTTGAAGATGGAGGGGGCCATGTGACAAGGAATTCTGAGGTCTCTGGAAGAAGAGAGTGGCCTCTGGCTGACCACCAGCAAGGAAATGGGGTACTTAGACCTTGAGCAGCAGGGACTGGATTTTTGGTAGCAACTTGAATGGGCTTGAAAGCAGATTCTTCTACAGAGCTTCCAGAGAAGAGCACAGCCTGGGTAACACATCGATTTCAACCTTGTGAGACACTGAGCAGAGAGCCTAGCTGAGACTGCCTGAACTCCTGACCTGTTTATCTGTAAACAGGTAAATGGATATTGTTTTAAGTCACTGAATTTGTGATCATTTCTTTTGCAGCAATAGAAAAAGAATATGGATCTATCGGCAAATTAATAATTTCAACACAACCTACTAAAAGACCAAATATGGATGGAAGAATGCTGACTGATGAAATGGGGAGGAACTGATGGCAAGAACACGGAACAGTTTTGCGCTGGACAATAGAATCATCTACCAGCGTAAGGTTGGACAATAGAATCACTCTAGCTAGTTTTAATTACAAAGGAATTTACTATAAAATATACATTAGCTTGTAAGGTGACTAGAAGCCCAAATTTTTTAACTTTTATATATTGGTAGCATGTTTCTTCCTGGAAGATTTTAAATTCTTCATTTTTAAGACTTCAACCAAGATAATTTCATTAATTGTCTTTCATTGATTATTTTCTGATATGTCATTAACCCAATATCTTGGTCTATGATGGTATTGATTATTACTTCTGTTCTAATGCTTGAGGTTCTTTTTGAGGAACCCAAATTATCTGTACTTTGTTCCTATTTTATTTGCTTGTTTTTAGTTAGTCTTATCTATTATTTGTTTTCCTCATTTTTTCCCTCAGTCTTCTGCTTTCTAGGAGAACTTTTCACGTTTTTCCTCCTTATCCTGATGCATTAAAAATTATGTCATTTGCATATTTTACAACACTCTTAAAAATTATTGGTTTTTTTTGCTATCTTTACCTGTTGCTCATGCAGTTTTTAAACATCTCAGCCACTTGTTTAATTGCAGATAGTTATTACATCATCATTTTAGCTTTTTAATAAAGGCTGTGTTTTAACTAATTTTACTAATAATATAAAACGTTATAAAATATTAATTAATAACATCTTTTTTTAAAGCACATGCTTTCTCTACCTCCTGAGTGGTATGCTTTTTTGTTATTGTTACAGAAACTTTTCCTAATTGCATTTTTCTTTTTATTCATTCTTAATAGTGT